GCTGAAGGCTGAAGGCTGAAGGCTGAGAGGAGCAGCGCGAAGCCGAAGCCGCTGCCCATCCACCATTGCTCGTTCTGTACACCGTCGTCGTCGCCTGCGACGTGCCCTTCGAGGGCCTGCCGGACCTGCCGCAGCTGAGCAGCCTGCCGGCCGCCCCTCTCCCCAGGGAGACGGCGGCGACACGGCACACCACCATCGCGGACGCCGTCGGCCGGTTCACGCGCGCGCTGGCCGGCAAGTACGGCGGCCGCGTCGTGCCAGTCAGACACGAGGAGACCGTCGTCGTCCCCGGGGGCCACCCGGTCACCACCGTCACGACCAACTATGTCTTCCAGCCGAACCGTCCCGATGGTGATGGTGATGGCAATAGTGGCAGTGTCAGCGCCGACGGTCACGGCCACGGTCACGCTGACGGCGATGGTGATGGCAATGGCGGCAGTGAGTTGCCCAACAACGATCAGCTTGACCAAGCCAGCAGCACCAGGCTGCGCAACTAGACAGTAACAGTTCCTAGTCTGCTAGCGCGAATCGATGCACGAACCCTCCACAGCACGCGTCTGCGCGCCCCGTCCGAGTCACCTTCCTGCAGGGCCGACAACACTCCTTTCAACCCTGCATCTCCGCATACCGCAGACTCGGCATCGCCAGTCGCGATGCCTTTCCACACCATCTGATTGCTGATATCGACATATCTTCGCACCACCTTGTATGCAGTCTCTGCATGACGGTATGTACCGCCCGCATGACTGTTCGTTCCCCGCACCCGGAGTCGAACCGGAGATCTCACCGCTCGCTGCACGGTTGCAGACACCTGACTGACAGGGCAGCCTCATGCCTCCCTCATGCAGCTAGCGATGCGCTTTGCCGTTAAGCGATGCGGGGTTTTGCGTCGCGACGACGATTTCGGTCCGCTCGACCGCTGACTTGCAGCCTTGCATGGCATAGAGAAACGCGAGAGGGGGTGGGGCCGGACGGACGACATACCTGGTCAAGCCACCTGTACATACCCATGGCCAGCGCAGTCGGAGTCGCACTCGCTGTCAGATCAGTGCCGAGCGCTCGGGACCCTGAGACTGTCCAAACGGACCTCCTGAGACTGAACGCAGCGCACACACGCAACGCACGCCACGCAAACAGGACGCACTGCACACGGGACGTCAGCCACGTCAACGAGACGACGGCGACGTATCCGATGTGAGCGAGATCCATTTGCTTGGAGTACGACACGGTGTGCACAGCGAGCCAGTCAGGGTGTCCTTTCTACAGCCTCAGGGTTCTAAGCGACGACAATGACTAGACAATGACCATCTCCCTTTTGTATCCCTTGTGCCTCCAATCTTGTATGCCCACCGCGTCGAATTTCCTCCCATTGGAGTTGTCCAAGGCTCAGTCTTTTCCAAACAGTGTAACTGATGCCGTTCGGTGCCAATTGCACCAACTTTTTCGTGAAATCGTAAGCCAGGTGTCGCGCCGGCGTCCAAGACGAGATATATGCAAATGTATCGCGGGCGACGTTATAGTCAGGCTGCGAGTCGCGGATCAGCGTCGGAATAGCCGTATTTCCAGCCATCGCAATGGGATGAATGTGCAGAACGAGAAGATGGCGCTGAAGAGCCAGCCGAGCTCGGGATTGGTAGGCTCGATGGCTTTCGAGATCGGGCCGGTGAACCACTTCTGGTGCATCGTGAGGATGGCGCCAGCGAATCCCATCGCCACGGCTGAGACGCCCGCGACGCCGAGCGGAAGACGCGTCATGTCGTTCCAATGCTGAAGCGGATAGTAGCGTCTGCGAAAGAGGTAGTGCTCGGAGGCCATGCAGATGACAAAGGCTGTGCCGTAATAACCGATGAGCGAGAGAACGGACTCCAGGACTGTCTCGAAGTTGTCCTCCCCGCCGATCGAGATGCCCATGGCGATTGCTGCGCCGACGAAACTCCAGACGAACCGAGGGACCTTGACGAAGGACGGATGGAAGTTCTGGCACATGAACGCCATCGAGTACAGGTTGACGAGGTTGCAGGCGATAACGCTCAGCGCGAGCAGGACGAGCAGGAACTTGCCGAAGCCGTGGATCGGGATGAGCGCTTGGCCCAAGAGCCCGCCGATTTCGCGCTCTTCGTACGCCAGTGCGAACTCGGGGAACTTCGTCACGGCGGTCATGAAGGCTGCGCCGAGGATCTGTGTGACGCCCGCGCCGAAGAAGATGCCAAGCCAGATGGCAGCGCCCAGCTTGTACTTGCTGGTCGTCTCAGGAAGTCGAACGTAGTAGTCGGCCGCGTAGCAGGCCCACGGGATGAGGAAGCTGTAGCAGCTGCCGATGAACGAGAGGATGTTCTGCGCCTCGACTTCTCCGGTTGGCATGGGTGCGACGCCCGCGTCGAAGTACTTGGCGCCGTAACGAGCGACGAAGATGAACGAGAAGAGAGCAACGGCCCACGACCAGCGCTCGAAAAGACGCACAGCTCGGTAGCCAACGACACAGATGAACGCGGCGCAGACGCCGATGATGAGGTTACCCGCCCACAGAGGACAGTCCCCGTTAGAGAGTTCTGTGAGGACCTGTGCGCCGGAAAGACTGTTCACAGCTGACCACCCTATCTGGCCACAGACCTGCAGGATGATGACAACCCGACCACCCCAGATGCCCATGGAGTAGCGGCCGATCGTCATGACCCGCATGCCGGTCTGCACACCAAGGTGGCCAATCCATGCGACGATCAGGGCAGTCAACGCGTCGACGATGACGATGACAAGGAAGCTGTCCCAGAAGCCAAGGCCAGAGAGTGGCCCGAGCGTGCCAATTGCGAAGGTTGCGGGCCTGTGCGGATGAATGTCAGCACCGCTTCAACCAGGACACTGCCGATCGGTCAGCTCACGTTATGTTCGCGGATGCCCAGATCGCAAAACCGTCGTAGAAGCCATCGGCGGAGGTGTCGGTGCGCTCATCCGGCCGCACTGGCTCAATGCCTCTCTCCTCGATATCGATGCCCAGCTGTCGCGTCCGTCGCAGTAAATGTCCGAACCGCCCCTTGGATGCCTGGATCTCATCGACATGGCCAGTCTCGGTGTCCGAGGCAGCATATGTGCCTGAGCCCGCATCCAGGTCCGTTGGATTGACATTGTCGCGAGCGAAGTCTTTCTCGCCATATTGCGAGTCCAGCTTGGGGGCCGCCATCGTGTCGCGTGCAGCCTGTCCGAGACGATGGAGGATTGACCGAGCACAACGAAGGGTGTCACGATTTCAACCCCAGCGTCCAAACCAGGAAAGATTTCCAGTTCAGCCTCCATCATGGGGAGGGTGCATGTTTTGCGGCGTCTTTTATAGCGCTGTTAGAGGTCGTGCACCACCTCGCTATCTGCTGGAATTGAGGGAATTCCTCCGTGCTCAATCCAGGGGCAAACCAGCCGACCAGAGACGAGGTCGATACGAGCGGGATTCAGAGCTCGGTTCGCTGGGTCTGCCCACTGCTCGACCAGGGTAGGTTTCAATGCAGTGCCGGGTCCGCTATCGGTCTCCCCTCACAGCTGAACCCCGTGGCGGGAGTCACAGCAGGCGCCGATGTCTGTTCGAGCCGCCCTTGACAACCTCCCCGTCATGGCTGTCAAGGCTTGTCGTGGCACAGCAGCTTCAAGTCGCCAGATCTTGGTGCAGCGCACTCAGCACGCCGCCGGTGCAGAAATGTCGCAGCTTATCGAGCCGCACGACCAACCCTAGCAGTCAACCGAGGCGATCCACCATGAGGATCTTGGCTTCTCGCGAAGGGTCCAACGGGCAGCCTGCCCCACCACCCACGGTGTCCCCAGCCGCCGGCGAAAGTTGCAGCAAACAGGCTGAAAACGAGCTCGTCCAGCAGGCGATGCGCGAGTACTTCGCACGCGTCCGGGACGAGCCTGGCTTCCTCACGCTCGGCGGCCCGCAGTCGCGAGGCATCAGAGCGCGCGCGTTCAGGCGAGAACCTGACCTCGTCGACCGCTTTCCCAACGGTCGGTATACCTGGGGCCGGTGGCACTTCGAGGTCAGACACGATGGCCTGCATTTCCTGCCGCTTGACCAGGAGGCATTCCTGTCGCTGTTCGTGGACCATCCCAGTGCAGTGATACCGATGCCCGGACACGGCATCCACGTCCCGCCGGTGCCGCCTGAGCTCCAGCCGGTGAGGATCCCGTCCGACGTGTATGCGACTGGCAGCAACTTTTGGGAAAGGTACTGGCGGTTGGTCGCACGTCCCGGTGAGATCGGCAAGCCGCAGGCGTTCTGCGACGAGGAGGCCCAGATCAAGTGCCAGATCAATGCCAGCGACAGCTCGACCGACCACGACAGCCAAGGCGTCAAGCGCTCGGCAGCGAAGCGATGATGACCAGCGAGTGCTGTCCGCCGGGATTCCATGCCCGCAGCACCGTCGGCACCACCGTGCCCGTGGCCTGCTGGCCACGCCCTGATGCATCCACAAGCTGTGGGGCTGCGACGAGGGCGACCGCCGCAGACAACCGCATCGCGTCGACTGCATGCGATTTCAGCACGAAGGCGGCTGAAGGTCTTGCTGCGCTGCCGCATTGACGCAGCCGGCTGCGCGACCTTGACAACTGGTGGAGCTAGCATCAACGAGCAGCAAGTCACCAGTAGTGTAGCTCAAGACACACTCCAAGGCAGCTCAGCAGGAGCGGTTGCAACTCACAGCTTGCCTCGTCATGCCGCAGCTGCATGCTCTGCGAAGGGCATCAGCCTAAGCTTATACGACCACAAGTGAAGACGGGACACGCTACTTGGACATATGGCCTTCCTGCGTGCTGCGGATTATCTGCACCGCCGCTCGTTCGTATTTTACACGCTGTCTATATCGACGCACTCAGTACCCCTTCTCCCTGTTGCACAGATTGAGCAGTGGCTCGCCTTTCCTCCTCCTCTCCAGATTGACCGACAGTATATCCAGCGCGCGCTCCATGTACTCTACGCCGATGCTGCTGACGTGAGGCGTGATGTGGATGTTCGGAGCGGTCCAGAGCGGATCGTCAGGGGGCAGCGGCTCAGGCACCGCGACGTCGATCGCCGCGCCGCTCAGGTGCTGCTGTTCCAGCGCTGCGATCAGGGCAGGCTGGTCGACCACCTGCCCTCGCGAGATGTTGGTGAAGAACGGCCCGGCCTGGCCTGGCCTGTGCTCCGACAGCACGCGGAACTCCTGCGCGCCGAACATCCCGGTCGTCGCTGGCGTCAGGGGCACGGAGACGACGACGTGGTCGAGCCCCTGAGCCAGGAACGCGTGCAGGTCTCGCGTCTCGCCGCCCGAGAACCACGCCTCCGGCAGCGTGCCGTCCGGGTCGCCGGTTTTCGGGATGATGTAACCCCGATCTCTCTTCGACTCGGGCGTGTCGCGGGGAGTGAAGGTGTACGCCAGCACTCGCATGCCCATGGCCGTTGCCACTCTGGCGACTGCAGGGGTTCATCACGGCGTCAGCTGTGCGTCCTATGCCTCAGATGCGGGCATGGGCTCGGGAGTCGTGCACCACTCACTCTGTCGCCCGATGCTGCCGTACCCAACAATGCCCACCGTCTTGCCGACGTGGTCCTGCGTCTGACCCCACTGCGCGTGCGAGCCCCATTTCCGCTGCTTCTGCAGCTCATAGCCCAGGTTGTACTGCCGCGAATGCACCAGCCAGTTCATGAGGACCCATTCCGAGATGGGGGGGCCGTGGATGCCAGACACGTTGGTGATGGGGATGTCGGTGTCTGTGAAGACGGGGTGCTTGAGCAGCGAGTCGTAGCCGGCGGAGAGGAGGTGGATCAGCCGGAGACTGGCGTCGCCGGAGAAGTCCAGTCAGCGATATGCAGTCCCTTCCTGTCGTAGCCTGAGGCGGGCTGCTCAGGTGGTGGTCACGTACTTGGG